TACTTATAGATATACTGTATAGAGAGAGACTAGTGACATATTATGATATTATTGTGGTACATATTGTATTTATATTATTAGTAAAAATGTTGATCAGTTAGACACAATGGATGAATCATTTACTGATCTTGTAAGTAATATAGTATTAGTAAGAATACTATGAGTGACATACCCTCTCTCCCTCTCTCTCCTCTCATAGGATTCTACTCTCAATACTTGTACACTATCAGTAGCTCCTCCTTTTCCTCCTACTCCAATGAGAGGTCCTCCCACTAAAAGACAAGCATTAGGATATGGACATTCATTTAGTTCAATGGATCTCACTAAATTAGGATCCACTGGTACTCTCTGATACTGTTCATGTATCCCATTAGATTGTTATATTTTATTTTTATAATTCTCTCCTCTCTCATCATTGTTGTGTCTTTCTTTATTAATTATTATTACTTAACTACATTGCATTTAACTCTCCCTCTATAACTGTCTCATAGCCCAAGCTAATTTAGTTTAATTTTCTTGCAATTGTTTACTTTTATTATCATCAAAAATGACAAATCCAAAACGTGAATGTGCATGTGTAGTATACCATACAGCTAGCAACTTTTGAGGGATAAAACTTTCATGGATCGACCCAAAATTCATTTTCATGGATTTTATTTTCAAACATTTATAGCTATATACATGTAGCTACATGTATGTGAAACGTAATTATAATTTATGCTTGCTCCAGCCACATCAATCTATCCTGATCATTGACCTAATCACTGTGTTAACACTTTCAACTAGATAGGCACTAGTCTTATCTACAGGCTATAAAGGAACGTGTAAGTTTTAAAGACTGGAATATCATCAATATCAGTAGTCTTGGTATCATTAGCAGGTTTAGACATGTATATAAGCAGGGATATACATTTATCCCAATATATGTTATCTCATTATGTTATAGTATGTGCATGTTCTTTTGCCAATAATATTTATAATTGTATAATTATGACTGAAATCAAAAGATATGTTCACTATGTTACTATAACACACTATATTAATAAGCAGCATTATGCATTAAATGTTCTACACTAAGAACTGAGAATTATTATTTAATTTTTAGCTTTTAAAAATTCATTTCACACATTCCATCGAATCATTTTTATATCATGAGATATCAGGCATCAAATCATAATTTTCTCGGGGCGGATAAAGTTTCTGTTAAATTTAATTATAACTGTTGGATTAGTATACTTTTCTTACCCAAGTTTCAATCCTTAGATCATTAATTGCTTTTTTTAATCCTCTATTATTATTATTGAGTTAGTCTAATGTCATTAATACATTCTTTACTTACTCTTGAACTGTCTTTATTAATCCTCTATCACCACTGACAAAGAAAACACGCCATGGGAGATTGGCATGATATCTTTCTTGTGCCTAATAATACAGTGTAGTATAATTAATGTCACATTATGATAAACCTAACCCATCTATCAGTCCATTTTCCTGTTGAGTCATCATCACGATAATAATATTGTGTCCAAGTTTCATTTCCTTCATATCCATTTAATACCAGCTACAAGTACATACCCATGATACGTGTGTTACTATTATAAATTAACTTAATTACATCAATAATGAGATTACATTCAATTTCATCAATACCAGTTGCTTTTACAATAGCTTCTTTCTGTTAAATAATTATTATAATTTATGCCATTTTCACTGTAATTACCAAGTCATCTGGATTCTTATTCCAATCTTCTGGTGGTATAATATAACCAATTTCTGCAATAAATTTAGATTCGTCCAAACAATCCAGCAGTACTTGCACCTACAATGTACATTCCATTTTTTATATGTAGTATTAATTTCACTAACAAGAGGATCTTTAACAGATTGCCTGATGAGAGTAAGAACACTGTCAGTGAGTTGTGTATAAGCAACCATACTTCTAGCAGCATCAGATATAGTCACCTTACTGTATTATTAATGTGGTAGGAATAAAATGCCAGAATTAATATTACCTATTAGTGTCTTGAATCAATTCAGTATTATCTGCTCTTGTTAACATTACTTTGATCCTGAACTAGTTATAAATAGTAGACACGCATAGATGTACTTACATTAAAGCAACAATTCTTATTTTGCGAACATAATATAAATCCCTGTAAAGGCGACTATGAGTGCTGAAGAAATCATTGTATGTCTCCAAATCCTATTATAGTAAAATGTGGATTTTAATATAATTAATATTTTCTAACATCTTCATGGAAGCAGATGTGTAATTTACCATCATCACACCTCAAAACATAAACTTTGGCAAGGAATACTCTGTATAGTTAAATAAATTGAACTATAGACAATATCACCAATATATAACTACCTCCATTTGAAATTGATTTTTGCCCCCAATACTGCAGCATCTCTTGTTGTGTAATCAATTACTTTGACATTCATTTGACTTTCATTTAATATGATCTGTAATGTACATATACTTAAAGTACATAAAATAAAATTATTGTACCTCATACAGAAATTCTTTGTCTTGGATACACTGCATCTAATAGTAATTGTAATCATAATGCTCACACGTACACAGTTTTAAAATATTATATATACAAATATTAGTAAGTTTACGTACTTTCCTTTCTTCTCTCATAAGTTCTGTGATGAAGGTAATATCTTCTCGAGGGTTATTGAAATATCTTCTAAAAGAATCCATTAAGTCTTCATTATCTTCCAGCATGTATTGAAACATATTGACAGATGCTTCAGAAAAATTCTAAATTGATACAACAAGTACATTACACTAATTAATGTACAGTATACACTTACATCCCAAGGCTTTTCAGTGTGCTGTTTTTGACATATTTCCTTCAGGAACAAACCAAAAATGTGAGAGAAAGGACCAACACCCAGGTTAAAGCAAAGAGCAGCAATTTGTACACACAAAACATCAGACTCAGTAATATTCAGCTCAGGTTGTTTTCTTTGAAGTTGCTTAACATACTCTCCAGCAAAATAGTACATTCTAAAAATATCAAGCTATATTATTTGGGTGCTAGATCTAATTGACTCTTACCCAATGCTGTGCTGAAGTTTTGTATAATTTGCTTTTGTTTTGTTTTCATAAGTGTAACCTACAGTATAAGCAAGCAGGATTTTTGATGCTCTACATGTATATACATTGTACATACATGTATAATAGTTTACCTAATGTGCTGATTTTTTTTAGTCTTTGAAATTGACGTGATTGTACAATTTTTATAATCAATGGATGATCAATGATTATGTTACCATAAATGTCATCTTCAAATAACTATACAATATAACAGGTTAAATTTAACATTGAAGTAGATTTATAGCTTGCTTACAAGAAAATCCTTTCCTTGTGGGGAGAATAAACTTAAATTATAAAATTAATATTGTCAACTAAAACTTACTTCTCCTTTGGCTTAGATTTTCAGTTTTCTGCTGAAATTTAACATGTTCTTTTTTGATCAAATATATACCACTAGTTAATATACACATTATAGCTAAATTATAGTTGTACCTTGCACTTCTTTATCTTTCTCAATTTGTTGCAAATTCATCATTGTTATTTTTGCTTGTAATAAGTCAATTTCTTTCTTACTCTCAGCTGGTGATGTTTTACATTTTTCTGAATAAGAGGTATGAACTCTTGATCTGACTACTGACCTTGTACTTCTTTGATTTTATCATCTTTTTGTTTTATTTCTCTTTTTAAACTTTTAATTTCAACTTCCATTTCTCGTTGTGTTGCTACTATATAATTATTAGATAAAGTAGAATTTAAAAATTTTTGATTGTTCAGTAGCATTGAAATGTTTTCTGTCCCTTTATTTTTGTATATCTTATTAATAACTGCATGAATCACTCACACAATAGCATGACACATACCTAATTGTGCTTCTCTACCTTGCTCTTCAATTTTACCAACAATTGGCTTTTCTGCATACTGTTTGATTTCTTAGTGATTTGAATTGATCATAATGTTATTATGTGTTACAAACTCATGTTTACTTTCTTTCTCAGATTGAAATAAAGCAAGCCACTCTTCTAGTAGTTTGTTTATTTCTTTCAGTTTTTCATTCTCAGCTAATGATAATTTAAAAATAAAGTATTACAAAACATCTATACCTTGAAACCTCTCACTCTCTGTTATACTGGCAGTCAGCATCTTGTTTTTAGAATCCAGTGCTTCCTTTAATGACTCTGCTTTTTGCTTTATTATCATACTTTCCTATGAAATGAGTAAATTATTAAAAACGGGACCCGATAAAAGTAGGAGTAGAAGTTTGCTAGATAAAAGTAGGAGCATAGAAGTTGAGACTAAAATGTGTGGGTGGATAAGAGTCAGCCGACCATGCAGCCATTATGATTAAAAAGTAGGAGCAGCTATAGTAACTTCATTTTTTGAAGGTAAAGACATGTATAGGCAATTTAAATGATTTTAACAATAAATTCGAGTTATTTTGGTGAGTTAATTTAGGTTGTTTTATAAATTGAAGGACTGAATACACAAAAATAATGTATAGGTAAACACTTTGCAGTCTTTAACGGTAGTCTCATATATTAATCCACTATCCATAACCTTCTGATTAAGTACTTGATCTATTGTTATCATTGTTATTATTTTTATTATGATTAGACTATTCTGGTCAAGTATTTAGATATGTGTTTTAGATCCATCTGGCTTTTATATTTAGTGCTTTCTCTCATTTTAACTCTTTTTTGTCTATCCTTTTTCTTGCTTGATAATTTTTCTGTGATATTGTGTTGGTTAAATTCTTGCACATTATAGACAAACAGTAACATAGCTAGTATGTACAACAATGCATGATTTATGATTTATCAAAAAGTTATAGTTAAGATACATTGATGGTTGACCTACAAAAATTAAAGAAATAATTATGTGAAAATTTAGCACACTTAAGAATTAAGTGTGATGAAAGATATACTATGGACTCCTGGTACTACAGTATGGAAATTCTAATAATGGAGTAAATTTTATCCACTGCTATTGCCATTGCAAATTTACACTCCCTCACTATGTGCACTTCACTAGCATTTTTAATTATTTTGAAAAGGATAAAGTGATAGCTATTTTTATTTTAACTTGATTTTGTCTTTTTTAAATGTCATATTCATATGCAAACAGTATAGAACAAATGCAGAGACAAATTAACAATGTTTACTAATTAATAGGCAACATTTAAAAAGAAAATGAACTCAGCCTACCAATTTGATACAGAGTACTGACTTCTGTATCTACAGATACAAAGATTAAGCTTATTATAATTATCTCAGAAACAACTACACAAGCTAGGAAAGGATAACTTAATAGTCAAAATAATAATGATACATAACGCACCATTTACTTAATACCATTGCTAATTTTTACACGAGGAAATAATTTTTATATTTAATTGTAGTAAAAAATAAAAACCAATGTTGTGGTTAAAATTTTTTGGGTATGATGCTACATAGACATTTGAGTTATATGGGGTCTCCAATACAATTTTTACAGTTACAATCAATAATTATTTTGTGTAGATCTACATGAAGCTGCTAAACTTGTGTTGATTAATTAATGCTAGCATTGTAAGTAAAATTAGCTGTAATTTAAATTTGAATTATTTTAGTTTAATTATTTTTAAAGCTTTTGTTTAAGTTGTTCTCATGAAGAATAATATTAAAATAAATCTACACAATCAAAGTGATAAAAAATTTAATATCATAGACTATTTATACTATAAATATTTGACTATAATCATAACAACTACACACCACATATTCCACTCTGCTCCTGCTTTTATTACCATATAGCTCGAAATTTTTGTGGGTCAATATTTTCGTGGTTTGCTCCTAATGGGGCAATTCTTGGTTTAATTTTCTTGGTTGACAGTTTACATAGCCTGTAAGGGATGGCACTTCAATGATTTCATGGGTTTAATTTTTGTGGGTAGCCCATAACCACGAAAACCACGAAATTTACATTCCACAAAAATTTCAAACTATACATTATTCACTTAGTGTGTGGGCGGCTGGCGCTTATCCACCCACGCAGTTTAGTCTCAACTCCTACTCCTACTTTTATTTAGCAAACTCCTACTCCTACTCCTACTTTTATTGCATTTCTCACTAACTTCTTCACATTCTGTTAAATGTGACTCTTTTTCTTGTAATAAATGCTTTGCCTCAACTAATAATAATAATAATAATAAAGGACAAAATTGATATAAAGGATTATTACATGATTACATGTCCCTAGCAGTTTAATGTAAAGTATAGTTAAGTTCTTTTCATCATTCAATGTTAACCATACTTGCTTTAGTTGTCAATTTCTCATTCTCTGCTATATAGACATTCAGCTTCTTTTGTTGTGTTTCTTGAAATGACTTTACTTCTTTTTCAAATGACTCTGCTGTTTCCTTCATTCTCATGATTTCCTTTAAAATAAGTAAATTATTAAAAACTGGTACAAGTCATAGTCAATGGTCCATGCATCATTTCATGTTAATTGCATTAGAGAGTCACTATACCTCATTTAAAGTAGTAACCTCCTCCTCACTATTAATCAGTTGTACACTCAATAACAGCATCAACTGTTTTGATAAACCACTACTAGTTGATAATGATGAGATGTAGTGAAGTTTATCTACATGATAGTATATACATTATAAAAAATAAAATTTGAGAGCACAAGGCTTACTTAGCTCCATTGTAGCAACAGTGGAAGTGTCGTTTACCTTTTATACTTAAAGTAATGATAAAATCAGCTCATATTGTTTACCTCATACACAGTGCAGTATCCAATGGTTAATCTCTTCACTTTGTTTTCTTTCAATACATCAATATTATTAAGAGCAGCTGTAATTAACTGCTCAGATAGAATCAAAGGGAAGGAACAAGTGATAGTGAAAGAATTGCCATCTCTTATGACATATAATCTAACATGTTGTGATGAATTTTTAAATAAAGCTGACGACATTCTCTGGACATCACTAAGTGTAGATTCATTAGCATCCTTGTCGACAATAATGGTAATGATTTCACACTTCAGTGGTGAAGCATAAGAAACAGTTTCATTCAGACACTGATTGAGTTTTATTTCCTTTAGCTCCTCAATAGCTTTTTTATATTCCTTAATAACTACTTTAGCCTCCTCTATATTAAATTCATTAACAAAAAACTCCAGCATACTAATATCATCAAGCTGACAGTTATCACAAACTAATTCTAAAACTTCACGAAGATCTTGACACTGAGCCACTTGAGGCCTTAATGTTTTGTCGTATGTGCGCAATACAGATTTGATATTATCAATGGATAGGGACTGAGGGTTGTTCATCATGATTGATCCCACTTTAAAGAATGTCTGGCCGAACTTTAATCGCATCATCTTAAATTCTGAAGTAACATTCATAGGAAGAAAAATCTTCAACCCTAAGTTCAGTAATATACAATAACATAACAGCTAATTCTTACCATTGGCATCGTTTGCTTGAATGGATTCACCAATGCAATAAGTTTTTCCTATAAAACTATTATTTACTTGTTTGCTCCAATATACTTACTGTATTCTTTGGTGATAGTACTTCCTATCTCAGCAGTGGCTGTTACTTTACACAAAATCTCAGCAAATGCTTTGAGTATTTGGTAATCATTGCAAACAGCTTCCTTTATTTCAATCAACAGGGCCTCTCCTTGTACATTAGTTGGGAGGATCATATCTTTTATCAATTTCGCTGTATGCAAAAGTAGAACCAACTGAGGCAATGAAGTCAAAAGAGACTGTTGAGCTGAATAACAAGCAAGAATTCTACAAGCAGGATGCTTTATAAAGAAATAATAAAAATTATGTTCATTTTTATTAAACATACTCTCCATATCTATTTCATGAGCTACTCCATTCTCTCCTAATTCCCTCAATGCTGATACCAATGAATAGATACTAGGCCGACCACCTTTCTTCTGAACATCATCAGCTTTCAGTAACCATTTGCTAAGACATTCACTGAGACACCTTCCAGTATCTCCTCTGTGGTCAGCTTCAATGAGATGCATTGTGTTAGGAGACAGACCAAGAAAAAGACCAAGATTATAATAACTGACTCCTGAATAACCATATCTTCTGAGTAACTGAAGTACCTCAGCAAGATCACTAACTACCAAATATTTGTATTTAGTCCACAAAAAAGTAACTAAACATACTTTGCAGCAACATATCTGTTGGTACAAGAGAAGCCATTGAGCTGAAGTAATAGCTGGGGGGGGGGGGGCTCCCGTGCAGCTAGCTCAACAACAAGAACATACACGTGATCTCATTTAGTACTAGTAGGAGGGGCTAGTAGTAAAGCCCTGGTTTTGAATTTGATTTTGAGGGAGTCCCATTTTTGTAAACTGATAATTCTATTTTATGTACTATTAGTGTCTATATATTTATCAGTAGTACTGGAGTAACTGATGGATCAGTGATACAATCATTGATACAAGTTATGACTGATGAGAATTACCAGCTCACTGGACCCTGACTCTCGCCTGACTCTAAGAAGTTAGTCTATAATTATTATTTATTTATACTACTGTATGGCTACAAAATATCACATGGGATTAATTTTCATTATTTTTGCTGGGTGAAGTTTTAATCCAATAAAATTCTTCATATGATCACACCTTATAGTGCTTTAAAAGAAAATGTGAAACTGAAGCACTATGAAATTAATATTTTCCCAAAAAATTATGAAAATTCAACAGCACAAATATTTGTACCAGTACAGTATCTGTTATTGTTATTGCTGTTGTATGAGGAGGAAGGAGAGAGGGAGGGGAAGGGCTATAGCCTATACCATGGGCTATAGCCTTGGGTATTTTTCAGAATTTTGGCATTTTTTTAAATGGCTGTAAATTGGAAAACTGAAGTCGGCTCAAACTTTCTACACAGCATAAGGACATCAATATGCTTTAGAAAATGTAATAAAAAATTGGGGGTGATTTTGGTGCCATTTTTTGGAAAAAACCATGAGCTATAGCCTTGAGTATTTTTTGAAAAATACCAATTATATTTTTATTCATAACTCAATGACTCTCCTCCCTATAGTCTGAGGAGTTATTACGTGTGTATCCTCCATATATAAATTATTTTGAAGTCTCTAAGGAGGCTCTCAGTTCCTGTGATTGTCAGTTCCCAAGGTTTCATGCTTTCCTTAAGTGTAATGAGTCCAAACCAGAGTGTGGCCGCCAGACACTATCAGAACTACTGATAACACCAGTACAAAGAATACCAAGGATCATATTATTACTACAAGGTACATGTATATTATAT